AACAGAGGTAATTATGAATGAACTAGCATTAGGCTAACAGAGGTGAGTATGTAAGAAAGGTAAGTATTAACATTAGTAAATGTGTAACGTAGCTCCCCTACGCTACACTGACAGACATACGTACATGCATACATAAAACCCACAAGTACATACATACGTACATACATACATATCCACATCCAGCCATACATACGCTACATATTTATATACATACATACAGATCTACATGCATACATACAACCATACATACATACACCCATACATACATACACCCATACGTATGAACAACCAAAGGGAAGCACGCAAAAGTGCAAAGCATTCATACACACCAATACTCAGCGAGAATTCGTTGCTCAAACATGCCAAAAATCACGATCTTCATTCGCTTCTCAACCTGCTTATCCAACAACCGACTTAAGTTGATTAACGCCAACTCAGCCAGCACCAGCTTCCGTAGGTAAGCACGGAGCGCATCGGGACGGCTTAGGCCGTGTAACCTCGAGCGCCCTGGCTTGTCCTGCGGGCAAGGCCGAGAGGTTGAGGGGGGCCTGTGACAGGGGAAATACCCCTCGCACAGACCCCCCAAACCCATTATTTTAATAAACGGTCTCAGTGGACAGGAGACGAACTCTCCTGCCCACTTAGATACCGCGTGGCGAGCGGGCATTGTGCGGTGGATAAAACCGCCCCACAATGTCAAGCCACCACGATTGAATACGTACCGTCTCACCCCAATGGGTAAGCACGGGGCGCATCGGGACGGCTTAGGCCGTGTAACCTCGAGCGCCCCTGGCTCTGCACATGGGGAATACAGACTGGCCAAGCTGCCGTAGGTAGGCACGGAGCGCATCGGGACGGATTAGGCCGTGTAACCTCGAGCGCCCCTGGCTCTGCCTACGGGTCAGGTTGGTGGGTTGGGAGAACATATTGACGACCAGCTTCCGTAGGTGACCTCCGTGACCATTTCGGACCGCCAATATTAAGTGCCGCCCTGGGCCAAGAGTACAGCAAGGAACCACCACCGACTATCATTAACGAGGGCCGCTAGCAACATCATCGCCATCCAGGGCCGTTGTCACCGTCGTGCATCATTAGGGCCGGACTGCCGCCTTCCTCACCATTGGGCCGCCAATATCATTGCCGCCCCAGGCCGAACGCAACACCAAGAGCCGCCACCTTTCAGGGCCGCTAGCAACATCATCGCCATCCAGGGCCGTTGTCACCGTCGTGCATCATTAGGGCCGGACTGCCGCTTTACTCACCATTGGGCCGCCAATATCATTGCCGCCCCCTAGGCCAAACCGCTACCGAGGACCGCTACTTACTGTCTGCCGCTGACATCATCGCCATCCAGGGCCGCTGTCACCGCCGTTACTCATCAGAGGCCCGTTGTTATAACTAGGGCCGCCAATACTGCTCTCACTACGGGAGGTCGCTACCGCCCTCAGCACTATTTGGGCCACCGTCAACATCACCGCAGGGCCGTCACTACTAAAGGGACTGCTACTGCCATCACGATCAGCATCGTCGCTCTCATTGGCTGCAGTACCCGTGCTGTGGGCATTTACCCTCATCACGCTCGCCACCGCTCTCACTGTCATTAATCACCGAACCATCACCGCTCTCACCGTCACCGCTCTCAACATCACCGCCACCGTCACTAGCCACTAGACAGTCTCCGCTCTCTGAGCCACGGCACCGATCGCCGACCAGTTAGTCGCTCTCTCTCTCCCCTCTCTTCGTAGACGTCAGGGTACCGGCAGCCTGGCCGAACGGCCGCGTGTGTGTGTGGTTGTGTTCGCTATATTTAACTACTGTGTTTATTTTATTCAGTGGGGGTTAGTGGGACCTCCACTCAACCCTGGAGCGGCTGAGCTACCTCAGCCTTCGATAAAACCCACCTCATAAATGTATGTATGTAAGTAATGAGAATTCTACAGAGTGAGTGGGAGTGTTATACAGAATATTAGTGGATTTAATAGTAAGTTAACATAACGTATTAACATAGGTGGGATCATAATATAACTATATACAGTAATAAAACTTTTCGCAGTTTTTCACCAATTGGTCCCCGAGGAGTACTTTTGGGTTGTGTGCAGCGTTTTCGTTTTTCGCGCACGGCAACACTTACTGTGGGGAATTTCGTCTCATGATTAGAAAAAGGTCTTTTCGAGGATAAAATATATATAATTGTGTTATTTGTGAACAAAATGTAGGTTAAATATAACATCAATTTTTAATTAAGAATAATATCAATAGTAAAGTACATAATTATTGCTTGTGTTTATTTAAACTCAAATCGTAATTATAACACTGAATGGAGTTTTTATAAATGTAAGTTTAAAATCAAAAAAATATCCATTGTAAGATTATATTTTTATGAAAAACTTGAATTTTGTGAATTGATCAAGGAAAATTCTAAATTTCCGAATATATTTAAGTCTTTATTCCAAAAAAAACAAGGTTTGCATAGTTATAGAGACTCCAAAGCCAGCGAGCGCATCCACCCAGAGAGCTCATTAAGCACACCCAAGTTTGAGAGACCATTATCTGGAGCTCCTCAAAAATACTCAACATTAATGTATAGAATGTCACAAAAATGAATCATACACACATACCCGGGGGGACTTTGATTCCCAGTGGGAACGGTCACCATAGCTGGGCTCTAAGCTACCGGGGGGGTCGGCAGGTCGCGGATAGCCGGACGGCCTGTAGTAGCAGGTTAGTTGCGAAATAAGGTTAAACGAATAATCAATCCCCGACGCGCTGCGGCGCACTGGGACTCCCCCGAAAGCCCTACAGCGATTTTTCCGCTGGCGGGGTAGAGAGGGTGATGTGAGCTTGCTCTGCCGAGGTGTCAGCCGCGGTGCGTATCAGTAACCAGCCACTTCGGTCCCTGGTCAGGGAGTGTGCATTGGACGCAGGAGTAGTAGACTGCGTTGCCCCAGGCGAGCGCCGGTCCGTCCGTGTTTTCCGGGACCGGTAAAGCGAAGAACAGGCCTCAAGGAACTGGGGTAGGGGCATAGTCCCCGAGGGTATACCCGTTCCTGTCTATTTCGGCCCGCCCCCCTGCACACGATGCGCTGGATAAAACAAAAGAATGGATTCCAAAATGAGAAAAAACCACAACAACAACAATGTAAATGAAGTCAGCAGCGGCACGAAAAACCTGGACGGCAGGGGCTGCAAGGTGCTTGGGGCAGACCCGTCCCAGGGAACACCGACTGCAGAAACTGATCCGTTCAAACGTGCGTCAAGACTAGTTCGGTCGCCTGTAAAGGCGCTTAGCCTGGAGAAGCCGGTACGAACGAGATCGTCGCCACCAGCACTACAAGACAGCGAGCCTAAAATGAAGGGAGCCAAACAGAACGGAGACTACATGTCGGAGCTCGGAGGTGCTATTAAGAGGCTGACGGAGGCAATGTGCCCGCCACAACGGTCAATAAACAATAGCATGCGAGAGATACTCAGCTCACTAACAAAGCTGCATGCGATGCCCTGGAGGAGTACTCTAGAATAAAGGCAAGCAGACGGAGTATTCTCAACATACCGGTAACTGCTGAAACCCCGAAGAGGCCCCGAGATGAAAGCCAACTAAAGCGTAGGACGCCACCCAAGAAAAATAAAACCACGCATGAGGAGGTGACCACCAACCCTGCAACCAAACAGAGTAAGGTGGCGTCAAACGAAAATTCCGGCAAGATTAAGGAGAAGGAGGTGGAGAAAGAAGGAGAATGGATAGAGGTCCAACGCAGGTCACATGGCAAAAAGAAGATGGCATACAAACCACCACCACGGCCAGATGCCATAATTATAGCTCGGACGGGAGATATGACCTACAGCGATATACTAAGGACCGTTAAAAAGAAAGAGGCGCTGCAGAAACTCGGCGAGAGCGTATCACGCATCAGAAAGACGGTCAAGGGTGAAATATTGCTGCAGCTTAAGGAGACGCAAATGAAGGACACGGGCGAATTCAAGAGCGAAATAGGTAGGCTTCTAGGGGACCAGGCACAGATCAGAGCCCTAACCCACGAGACGATGGTAGAAATCCGTGACCTGGACGAGATTACCACCAAGGAGAATATTGCCGAGGCCATCCGCAACCAGATAAAAGAGCTAAACCACCTTAACGAAAATTCGATAAAAAGCATCAGGGCGGCGTATGCGGGCACACAAACCGCGGTGGTAAATCTCCCAGCACAGGAGGCAAGATTACTTCTTGACGCGCAGAAAATAAAGGTAGGATGGGTTGTGTGCAGAGTAAGGGAGAAACCGAACCCCAAAAAATGCTTCAGGTGCCTGGAATACGGCCATATAGCGAGAGACTGCAAAAACGCGGAAGACAGAAGTCAATGCTGCCTACAATGTGGGGAAAATGGACACTTTGCGAAAGCCTGCGACAAAAAGCCATACTGCAGAGCATGCAAATACCAGGGAGGAAAGAACACCGAGCATCAGATAGATAGTTGGAGTAACCAGTATGGTTTCCGAAGACAGAGGTCTACCATTGATGCAATTAAAAAGCTCACCGATGTCGCAGGCAAGGCAATAGAAGGAACAAGATGGCTATATGGCACGAAGGAATACTGCGCGGTGGTGACATTCGACGTAAAAAACGCCTTAAATTCGGCCTCCTGGCCTCACATACTATGTGCTCTGGAAAGAAAGAACACGCCGCCCTACTTTCTAAGGATGGTATCCAACTACCTATCGGACAGGCTTCTGCTGTATGTTACCGACGAAGGCCCCAGGAAGTACGTGGTGACGGGTGGAGTACCACAAGGCTCCGTACTTGGGCCACTACTTTGGATTGTCCTCTATGATGGAATTCTGTGTATTCCGCTGCCAAGGGAGGTACAAATTATCGGATACGCCGATGATATAGCAATAACCTCTGCAACAGCACGGCGCAACAAATAAAGAACTGGCTCGCTGCAACGAATCTCCAACTCGCAGGGCAAAAAACCGAAGCGGTGGTGATCACAAGTCGAAAAAAGATGGAGAGCGCTACGCTCAACATCGATGGACATAGCATCAAAACACAGCAGTCGCTGAAATACCTGGGTGTCATGATAGACTCGAGATTAAGCTACAAGGTGCACATTGGTAAAGCCTGTGAGAAAGCGGCAAGAGTGACCACGGCTCTAACAAGACTAATGGCTAACATCGGCGGACCGATCCAAAACAGACGAGCGCTTCTAGCAAAAGTGAGCCAGTCCATACTAATGTATGCAGCACCCATCTGGGGGCCCGCGTTGCAGCGCAAGACTTACGCGAAGGCGGCAAAGTCGGTGTTCCGACTAAATAGCATCAGGGTGACTAGCGCCTTCCGTACTGTGCCACACGAGGCGGTCGGAGTCTTAGCTGGCATCATGCGCCCAGAAATAATGGCCATGGAGCTAAAAAGAGTCTTTGATAAGTCCCGAAACTTAGGCAGGTGCCTGACAATCGAAGAGCGGAAACAAGAAAGGGAGGCAAGTCTAAATGAATGGCAAAGACACTGGGATGTGACGACAAAAGGGAGGTGGACGCACATGCTGATCGGTAACATTAAAGCATAGGTGGAGAGGAAACACGGAGAGACCGACTTCTACATGACACAGTTTCTGACGGGGCACGGCTGCTTTCGAGAATACCTGTTCAAATATGGGCATGCTGACGGGACAGAGTGCTCATTCTGCGGTAGCGGCGACGAAAATCTACTACACGTATTCTTCCGCTGCCGAAAATACGAGGCAGAGCGAACAGACATAGAGCAGCTGATAAAGGAGAGCATGACGCCTGACAATATCGTGGGGCACATGATAAACTTAAAAGCGGTTTGGAGTAGAATTAAGGCGTGGTCCGCAATAGTCCTCCAGGAGCTAAGAGCGAAAGAAAGACAGCGCAGTAGCGAAAAGAGAATGACCGAAGAACAAGCCCAATGATGTGAAGAAGGGCCAATCGGCAAGCTGAGTTTTGGGACGAAATTCCTAACGGCAGTACCGCAAAGCCAATTACAAGCTATAGGTGAGGGAGTTACACACACACACACACACACACCTACGATCGAGTGGCGCCAGAATACATTGTGCACCACATGATGCAATCTAGAATGGTGTGGAGTATAGTCAAAGCGTGGTCCGCTATAGTTCTTCAGGAACTTAGAAGGAAAGAGTGGCAGCGCAGTAGCGATGATAGAGGACTGAACGAGAGATAGGCCAGAAAGGCGTGTGCGAAGAGCCAATTGGCCTTGCGACGTAATACCTAACGGCGGTCCCGCAAGGCGAAACACAAGCTTCAGACGTCGGAGTTAAGGGTTTAGTACGTAGGCGCGCTGTCTCGCAAGTCCTGAATTATGTGATAACATAGTCTTGGCGTGGTCCCAAATGAGGTGTACCCTTAGCGGACAGGATGACGAATCGTGCATAACATCTTTGGAAGACTGCCCCTCCGTTTAAAACAAAAAACACACACACACAATAGTAATTTCTATGAATGCCTACCGTATAAACTCAGGACACGCATTTACTTGGAGACTCCGAAGGTTATGGTGGACATAAGTTCAGCCAGCACATTCAATGGCTCACATGCCACTGCCTCTGGCTACACGCTGGATATCGGAATATTACAAAATAAATAGCAATTATCTCTTATAATTATAAGAAAAGTGTTTTGTTTTTATAAAAGTACCTGTGCCACTCTGCCATACGGTTGTTGGTCCCTTTCATACCACAGTAAATTTGTGTGCAAGTCTGAATCGGCTAAATTCATAAGGAGCATGAATTTATTATCAACCCTGATCTGATTTTACCCCGAGGAGTATTCAAAAAGGTTTATTACTGTATATACTGTGATCAATGGGAATCTTCAGAAGGCGCAACAGCTCAGTAACTGTTTTTAGGGATGAAACGATACGAGTAAATACAAGTATATACATTCTCGATACCTTTGTTTTGATACCAAATAGGTTTGGCATCGATGCAATTGAACCAAGTACTGAGTAGGTATAGGTAGGATATTAAGGGCCGGTTGCTAAAAGCCTGGTTGACACGGTTAAACATCGTTATCGACGTTACCGACACCGTGTTATATGCATGGAGTCGAGCAACCGTCCCTAAGGGTTTGTCTTCGGTAATTTTTCCTCCGCTGTTATTCCCAAGCGCCTTGTTCTTCATGGCTGCTTAAAGGTCTGTATGCAGCTCTCAAGAAAAGCAAAAACTCCATATAAAATGACGTACAAGAAATTTTCTTGAGTCAGTTCTTAAGAAATTTACTACGTTTTCTAGTACGGTTTTCTAAAGTTTTTTGTGAAAAAAGAGCACAAGGCAACCCAGGCTTGCAACAGAAATATATGCCCGTTCCATTATTTCTTGAGGAAAGAGTGAGGCAACAAGGCTGTGAGGTATCAAAAATGTCAAAATTCCTTGGACACACACGCGAAATAATGGCAATCTTTTCTTGACCGTTTTCTTGAGAGCTGCATACAGGGCTTAATTGCCAGCAAAAAGCGCGAGAGGACAACAAAGTCGATATAATGCAAATAATCAGTCAAAATCATCAGTCTCATTTATTACTAAATCTCAACAGATTGTATTGCCAAATGTGCGCAACCACGGTGAGATGCTAATTTTCAACTAGGTTGCTCAAGTTGGACTTCTACTTCGCTTTGCTTCGGAATTCCGCTTTGACAGATAAATTCAATACTTGATTTTATAGGAGTCTTGCCAAATAGAATGCGAGGAAAGCAAAGCAAAATCATGGCCAACTCTCAATTTTTAAGCGCTTTGGCAATCAGATGTTTACATGTATCTTTCCTCGCGCGCTTGCATTTGTATTTAAAGACAAAATTAAGGTATATATGAATTATTATTGCTAGTATTAATGCATATCCTTATATTGTTATCTATTTTACACAAATAAAATATGTAAAATGAAGAAAAGGAGAACGCGGAAGCTCTCAAAGAGTTTATTGTAGCATACATTCTACGCTTCACGCTTTGTGGTTATAGTTCGATCTGTCAAGTAAAGCGAGTAAAGTCGTATGTAAACAACTGGCTGATGCTTTGTATTTTAATGTTTTGGAATACGCTGCAATCACGATGCAGCGAACAAAGGCGCTACTTTGTTTTTGTCGACTTTGACAATTCTGATCTAAAATTAAACGACGCCTCAGAGCTTTTAAATGCACTAACATTCACTAATACTTCAACAAAAATTACCGTTTTCACATTTTCCTTATTAATTCTCAGTGTTGCCAAGTTTTGAATTTGAAAAAGCACTAATACCCAACAAAAATCCCGTTTTTTCTCGAAAAAAGCACCAAACTTTTTATTGGAGTGGACTTTGTATGCATACAAAAAGTTTATTGCAGGTATGCCCATTCAAATTAATAAAAATTAATGTTTCTTGCTCGCCAATTAGGCATTGTTTACTTTTTGTACACAAATGTCATCCCCGCCAGGACAGCGCAATCTTTATTTTATTATTAAGCTGCGTTTACATAAGGCAATTTGAGACAAGACAATTGAGAATATGTATTCGTTGTAAAATTTTTGTGTAAAGTAGGCGTCCAGACAATTATAAAGACAATGCATTTTTCAGCAACCGCCGTTAGTTTCGTTTGCCGTGAATTTCATATTATTTACTAAAATATCCAAACACAAACCACCATTTCATAATTCTGCGATTTTTTGCGATTTTGCCTCGCCTCTTTTTCTCAAATTAACCAAGACGTGACCGAATTGTCTACCCAACCGACGTTAGTACCTCATTAGTATATATATTAAGGGCCGGTTGCTCAAAGCCTGGTTGACACTAATCATCGGTTAACATCGTTATCGACGTTTTCGACTCCATGCATATAACACGGTGTCGGTAACGTCGATAACGATGTTTAACCGGCGATTAGTGTCAACCAGGCTTTGAGCAAGCGGCCCTAAGATTTTTGTATTGCAATCGATAGTTCGTAGATTGTTCTTTAATATTCGTCCATTTTTAACGTTTGTTCCTTAGCCAAACATTTATAATTAATTTTTAAATTTTCGCTTTACGTTAAACGTTTAAACAATAATTGGAATGGCTTATATTTCGAAAACTGTTCAACTGATTTTAAAACTATGGACACAGTTGGAAAGGCGATTGAAGGACCTTTCATTTAATATATATATATTCATGTATATAATGTTACATAATTACGTTTTTGTACTTTTTCTCGAAATATGGTTACATTATATACATATATAGCGAATGAAAGGTCCTTCAATCACCTTTCCAACTGTGTCCATAGTTTTAAAATTGGTTCAATAGCTTTCGAAATATAAGCTTTTAAAAATGTTGAAAATCCCAAGTTTGGACCCTCTAAGCGCCACCCCTAATAATTTGCACAAAAAAAAAATATATGCCATTAAAATCATGAATAAGTTCTTTCCGGCAATACAGAAAGGAGCATTCTACTTAGTAAGGATTATAATCCTTAAGCGCGGCCAAAGGCCGCCTACGCAAAAAGAAGCTCTGCGCAACAGCGCACAGAAAGGAGAATTCTACTTAGTAAGGGTTATTCCAATTATCGTTTAAACGTTTAACATAAAAATGATGAATTTATTAACGGCTTTTGCTCGATTTTAGGAATGAAAAAACGACGAACTAACGACGAACAAACGATTTATCACAGTTAGGGCCGGTTGTTCAATGTCTGATTAGCACAAATCGGAGGTAGAAGCTCCGGTTAGATACAAAGACTGCTTTATCGCTCACATGTTATATGCATGATGTCGAAATCGTCGATAATGAAGTTTAACCGGCAAGTAGTGATAACCAGACATTGAACAACCGGCCCTTAACAAATGAAAATAATAAAATTCTTACACCTGGGGCCTATTTAATAAAGCGAAGTGATAAGTTTGTAACGACATTTTGTAACGGCATTTTCCATATTGTCAGTGACAACTCGACAGTTTGGTGGGTGTTTTGCTTCATAAAAATAACTGTCACCACCTCTTAAATTCCATGAGAAATTCCATTGAAAAAGTGACAAATTGTCATTGTTGAAATATTCAAATTATTTAATAATAATGAAATGCGCGCAATTACCATGTAAATAAATTTACAAAACTCTCCTGTGAAAGCTTTCCGACGGAGCTATTTGGTTTTGTCGCCATTGTGCCAGAGTGACAATTGTTAGCACAATTGTCGACAATATTCCATATTATCACTGTCGCTTTCCAAAAATTTTCACAGTTACCTACAAACGTATATGAAACAGGAAAAATGTTGCCGACAATTCTGGCAGTGAAATTTTATAGAAATATCGACAATTGTCGCACCTGTCACTTTTATGAAATAGGCCCCTGGGGTGCTAAATGCAGGAACTGTAAAATGTAAAAAAAAAATAATTATAAATGTTTGGCTTAGTATAGCAAATAATAAGTTATTGGTTGGAGTTTGATCACCAATTGGTTTACTTTATTGATTTCACTTTCTTTTATACCAAATTCTTACACTAACACTTACAAATTATTTACGAACTAGAATGTATACAAATATACTACTAATACCTACAAACTAACTACATAACTCTAAAATATGCTAAGTCAACATATGGTTGCAATAAATATATAAATATGTCAGTCGCATTGAC